GCGCAAAAACAGGCTCAGATTGCTATTCTGGGCGCGCCTGCTCGGGCGAGCGCCAAAACAGGCTCGGGCTGCCGTTCTGGGCGCGCCCGCTCGGGAGAGCGCCAAAACATGCTCAGATTGCTATTCTGGGCGCGCCTGCTTGGGAGAGCGCCAGAACAAGCTCAGATTGCTATTCTGGGCGCGCCTGCTCGGGAGAGTGCCAAAGCAGGCTCAGATTGCTATTCTGGGCGCGGAGAGCGCCAAAACAGGCTCATATTGCTATTATGGGCGCGCCCGCTCGGGAGAGCGCCAAAACAGTCTCAGATTGCTATTCTGGGCGCGCCCGCTCGGGAGAGCGCCCAAATCAGGGCGCGCCTGCTCGGGAGAGCGCCAAAACAGGTTCAGATTGCTATTCTGGGCGCTCCTGCTTGGTGCGATTGGGCAGGTGCTTTAAACCACGGCAAAATATTTTATACATGTCACTCCTCTGTAGAGAAGTGCAAAGGTTTAAACGACCGCCATCTTCTGCAAAGCTTTTCCCCCCGGTCTTAGTGGCGGCGGCGCAGTGCCTCGTCGCTGGTGGAGCCAGCGCAGCGGACGTCCGCTTCCGCAAGGATGACGTCTGCGAGGCCTACAAAACTCTCCCGCTGCGTAGTGAGCACCTCCCGTTTGCGGCCGCTGTGACGGCGGAGTCCGTCTCGCAGGATCAGTTCCTGCAGCTGTTCTGCTGTCCATTTGGGGGGAAGGCGAGTGTCCATGCCTGGCAGCGCGTGCGTGCGGCTTTTCAAGCCATACTTTTGCGTTTGTTTAGCATCGTGTATCCACGTTTCGTGGGCGATTTTTTCGGCATTGATGCAGAGCAAGCGCACGAATGGGGTGATAGCGCCGTAGGCGCCGCCTCTTTAGCTAGATTCGTCATCCAGGACTTGCTGGGCTGGCGTCTTGATTCACATAAAGCAGTTACGGCAGCGTTGAGTTTTGTTGCGCTGGGCGTTCGTGTGTCCGTGGACGCAACCACAGAGTGTTTAAATTTTGTCGTGCCCAGCGACAAGTGCGCCAAGTGGCTGGCGGAAATCGCAGAGGTGCTCCGGGACCAGCGTTTAACGCCAGCGCGCGCGCAAAAGCTGGCCGGCCGGCTCAGCTGGGGGGCCACAGCAGTCTTCGGGAAGGGCGCGCGCGTCTATCTGGCGCCGCTCTTCCGGCACTCAGCCGGGAGAAGCACTCGCATCTCCAAGCGTTTGCGCTTTGCGCTCCTGTGGTGGCAGCGTTTCCTCAATTCGCAGCCAAGCAGGGCCGTCCCGCTGTCGCCATCGGTGAAGCCACGTTTGGTGGTGTACACTGACGCCTCGGGAGCAGGCGTGCTGGCTTGGGTGGCAGTGCTGGCCGGGCGTAAGTTTTTCGCTTCAGCGCCAGTGCCGGGCTGGCTTGCGAGGTGGGCCTGCCCGCGTCAGCAGCAAATCCACACCTGGGAACTAGTAGCTGCAGTGTGTGCACTCTGGCAGTTTTTCAGTCTGCCCGAAGGCGTAGCGGGGCTCGACGTTGTGATTTTCATCGACTCGACAGTCGCACTCGGGACGCTGCTCCGCGGGTGCTCCCGCCAGCGTGACTGGAATGCTATGGTGGCTGGCGTGTGGTTTGCTGCAGCAGACCGTGGCCACTTTTTAAGTGCATTCCGCGTGCCTTCACATTTAAATTTGGCAGACTGGCCAACTCGTCCAGAGCAGAAGGCATCGGAGTTGGCACAGCTGGTCTCTCGCGGCTTCGCTCGCCTCGAGTGGGCTTGGCCGGCAGTGGATTTCTGGCAGCAGAGGCGGTGACGGGCATGCATTCGCGAGGAAGGAAAAAGTGCAGTTGTTGATTCGTCAGCGTTTCTTGCCGCGTACTCCGGCGCACGGCCTCCCACGCAGTCATCCGTAGTCAGCTTGGCCCAACATGGCACTTGAGTTCATCAACCGCAAACGCGCGCGGTGGGCTTTGGGCGATGGCGCTTCGGACCCTGAGCCGCCAGAAGAAGCATGCTCCCATGATGTGGTGCCGCCTGCTCTTGCACAGTGGTTCACAGGGGTGCTTCGGCGCACGCCGCCGCGTTACCACCCGGCATCGCCTGACAATGTGTTGCGCGCTCTCGCCAGTGGCGGGGCCGTGGCCGGAGATGACTTCAACGACATGAGTGTGCAGGAACTTCGGGACGTCTGGCCGTGCCTTCGAGAGCTGGCCAGTGAATTCTTGGCCATTTTCCCTTCCAGGAAGCGCTCTCCTGTGGCGCCGCCGGCAGGGCACTCCCAGGGCAGCGGCGGCCCGAGCGGTGAGGTCGCATCGCCTTTGGTGGAAAGCGCCACGCCCGCAGGGCCAGAAGGGGGCGAAGCTGAAGCTGCCCTTGCTGCTCTTGGCTTCCTGGCCGCAGCTCGCTTTCGGAGGACTTTCCTGGAGCCCAAGGACTTGGCCGACGCAGTGCAAACGCTGGGCCGCGTCACGCCTGAAGAGCTCCAAGTGGCATGGGCTCGGCGTCACGGAGGCGCAGGGGGCAACCCGAGAGAGCGTGCTTTGCAACTAGTGGGCAATATGTCTGAGTTTGCAGCGACGCAGGAACTTTTGAGACGAGAGCTCTGCGGGTGGCATCGGAGTGCTTACAAGTATGCGTCCGCAGTGCGGCTTTGGGGCCAGGTAGCCAAGGGCCTCGGAGTGCCGCCGTGGCCGCCGACAGACAGCGTGCTGGGGGCCTTTGCTTTCGCAGTGCAGAACGGCAACACGCTGATGACGTACTGCACACAGGTCCGGGCGGCCCTGCGGTTGGTCCGGGTCCCTCTGGGGTGTTTGGAAGATACCTCAAGTCTGGCACGGGGGGCCGCCAAAACGGTGCCCGGCACGAGCCGCTTTCGAGCGCGGGCCAGTGCGCACGACACCCGCAGCGTTGCTGGCCACGTGCGGGAGGTGCTCCGGGATCCTCTGGTGGCGGATTCCTTCGTGGTCGCCAGACATTTCTGTCTCCGTTTCGCGTCGGAGGTGGTGCCTCTGGAGCACGACGGGCCGCACTCCAGGGTCGTGCTCTCGGTCGACGGGGGCTTGCCCAAGGCGTGCATCTACTTGCACAAGCGCAAGATGCACACAGAGACAGTGGTGGTGACGAGGCGGTGCATCTGCGTTCTCCAGTCGCGGCAGCTGTGCGGGGTGTGCGTCCTGCAGCGCCGGGCTGGGCGGGGGCGCCTCTTCCCTGGCCTGTCCTACAGGGCAGCTCTGGCCACGCTGAAAGCATCGGCGCTGGCGCTCGGCTTCGAGCGCGCGGCCGAGTGGGGTACACATGCCTTCCGCAGAGGCTGGGCGGACGAGTGTTTAGCGGCGGGCGGCGTGCCGGCGCTCTTCCACAGTGGAGGCTGGCGTGGCGTCGCTGCGTTCGGCTACGCCTCTGCCGCCTCCAGAGACGCCATGACTGCTGCGGAGTGGCCAGTGGAGTTTTCGGACTCGTCTGCGTCCGACGGCGCGCCGTGAGCAGTGGAGACTGTGAAAATCATCGTCGGGTCTGTGCCATCATCAGTGCTGCTGTGCTCTCGTCGTCAGCAGTGGGGTTGGGGTCCGGGTCGCCGAGAGCCCCAGCATTGGGTCTCGAGGGCTCCTTGGGGTCTCTCGTGCTCCCCTGCCCGGCTGCACGCTGTGTGTCGCCCAACGGTCCGTGCGAGCGCACAGGACCATCGCAGAGGAGAGCGGCCGCACGAGAATCTTCATCATCCCTAGGCTTTGTTTCTGGGGAGGAAGATTCTCACAGGCCGCTTCTGTCCCCATTCGGGGATTCGGTGATTCGGTTGCCTTTCGGCGTCTCCGCTCCCCTTGCCGCCCGGGCCCGAGGCGGGGTAGCAAATGTCGGCCAGTGCTCCCGTGGGAGCCGCGTGGCTACGCTGCAGGCCAACGGCTGTGCAGTGTGGCCTGGGCGCGCGCGGCCTCGTCGGGGCGACGCTCTGGCGGGCCGGCGCGCCCTCCTGCGGGCCGCGGGCGTTGGTCGCCTGGGGCGTCGCTTTTGCCGGCGCGGCCGGCTTTCCCGCCCGCCCTCCCTGGGGTGTCTTGTGTGCTAGCCGGGCTGGGTCTCGAGGGCTCCTTGGGGTCTCTCGTGCTCCCCTGCCCGGCTGCACGCTGTGTGTCGCCCAACGGTCCGTGCGAGCGCACAGGACCATCCCAGAGGAGAGCGGCCGCACGAGAATCTTCGACCATCGAGCAAAAAAACACGCACGAAACCGAAACATGCACGGGAAATGGACGTCCGAGCGATGGCCAGCCTCGTCTCCGCCAGCGAAATATTCATTCGCGACGCGGTCAGATTCACGGTGTTGTTGCCAGCCACGCGGCCAGGACACGTTGCCTGAGCTCGTTTGGCTTCGCGCCTGTACCGTGTTACAGTGGAGGCCCATGCCAAGACACACCCTGCTTACCTCCACCCTCCAGGGTGCCCTGGGTTTCTTGGATGTTTGATGGTTCTGCGATGGGGAGCGCGACGTCCCCACACCAGAAATCCATGGACGCCCTGGGGTCTCAGGGTTGGGTTTCTGGCGGAAGGTTTCTTGTGGACTGGCCTCCACTGTAGTTCAGTGCGGGGTTGTCGATCGCACAGCACGTTGGCAGGCCAGGGGAGGGCACGTCTCCAGGGCCAGTTCGCAGCACTCGCCGTCTGGTTCCCTTCCCCTCCTCTCGTGGCCACTGCTTGTTTGTCTTACTTGTTGGCTTGGGCCAGGGGTTCCAACAGCCAATGTACGTGTCAACCCTCCTCCTCGTCATCCTCCGCCCCTCCGCCCGAGTCCGGGGCTGTTGCGGAGGGTCTTCGCTATCATTGCTTGTCGTCATGCTGTCATTTCTCTCATCTCAAAAGTGTGTTGGATCAGGTGATATCCCTAAATGTAGCCAGGATGCAGCGGAGAGAGGCAGGTGGAGGAACGACGAGTGGTTTCCTCGGCCTTCTCCTCTTTCGACTCTTCGTCCTGGTCCCTGCCTCCGCTCTCTCCTCATCCTTCCACCCCGCCTCGCCAGATGATCGCCAGGCCTGCCCCGACCACGTCATGTTCTACGACTTCGTCCTCGAGGACATGGACCCCTTCCAGGTGCCTCGGGGCAGAGCGACCCTTGCCGCCGCCGCCGTCCAGCCCCGGCCTCGGCAACGCGACCCTCCGCCTCGCCTCTCCTCGCCGCCCTCCTCGCCGTCGTCCTCCCTCCCCCTTCCTCCCCCCCTGAACACCTCCTTTCGTGCCGCCGCCGCCGGAGTGCTGGGGCAGCGGGGCCCCGACGGGAGCCAGCGCGAAGCCGACTAGCTGATGGACAAGGCCCGGCTTGCCTTGTTTGGCCTTGCGTGACGCCGATGCCGACGACCACGGTGACGACGACGACGCCGACGAAGCCGACGCCGACGAAGCCGACACCGACGACGCCGACGCCGACGCTGACGCCGACGCCGACACCGACGACGGCGATGCTGGCGTCGTTGCGCTCCTTCTCATGCCATTCGCCTTCCTTTCCGCCCTTGCCCTCCAGGCCGTTGGGTGCAGGGGGATGCCCGGCGAGACCACGAGAAGCCTCGGTGGCCCCTTGGGGAACCCCGCGGAATGCCCAAGGAGGGAGGCGCGCGGGGCATCCAGACGTTCGAGAAAACTTCGTTCGGGGACGCATGCGCGATGCTTTGGGGCCCGAGTGGGCCGCGCGTGCAGCAACACTTCCGCGTTGCTGGGCGGAGGGGCTCGCCTCTTTTCTGTTGGGACGAGAGTGCGCACGATGTGCATCCTTGGCGGTCACCTTGCGGGACTCGTGGGCACGCAGCCTGTCGCACACCTCGGCGGTGAGTGCCTCGGCGTGCCCGTTCTGCGTCGTGAGGTGCCGAGCCTCCGCAGCCGGATGGCCCCGCAGGGGGAGGGGGCCGGCGGCTCTCCTCTACACCTCTTCGGCCTCGCGCCTCCTACGCTGCCCGTCCTTTTGCTGCGTTGCATGCAAGTCCTGGGAGGTCAAATCTTGGCTTTGCCCTGGTCGGAAATCCGGCTTGATCTCGTTCAATCTCGGAGGTGGACAGAACCCCCACCCTGACACGTCGATTAGTGAATTGTCCGTTTTCGGTTCCCGAGAGGGCGCCGCGGCCGTCATTTTCCAGGCCTGCGCCCGCCTGGTTCGGGCCCGAGGTCCTTTTCATTAAACCACGTTTTACTTAAAGGGGTTCTGTCCATCCCTGAGTTTAATCTGGCTTGATCCTGCTAAATCTGGCGTCATCCCCTCTGAGTCCGCGGCCCCAGCCGGCGTAATAGCCCTCCGATGGGGCTTCTTTCTCCCTAATCCTTCCGACGAAGACCTCCCAGTAGTTGCCTGCTGATGCTGCATCCTCCTCTTTTCCTCCTCTGCCCCGTTACCCTTCTCTCCCGTCTCCTCGCTCCTCCTCGCTTTTTCAGCCCCACCAGTCGCTGACTGGGCCGCCTGTGGGGGAAGAATTTTGCGCTTCACTTTTCTCCGCCATCCTCCATCCAATGTAGGGGCCGCGTTAGTCGAAAAAGAAACAACGCCATCAAGATAAACGTTTAGCGCTCTGCGTGGATTTCTTGGATCTGCGCTGGGCTCCCCCGGCAGCGCCTCCGGCGCCGACCCTGGCGCGCCTCGCGCGCCAGGGAGGGGGGTCCAGCGCAGAGCCAATAGATCCGTGCGGAGCGCCAAAAGTTTATGTTTATGCAGTTGTTTCTCCTTCTAGTTAGGGGGGGCTAGCTCAGGGGGGGAAACCTCGACCTGAAATCGGCCATGCATCGCCGATAGATAGGCGAGGGGCCGCGATAGTCACTGGACGTTCCCGGGCTGGGTGTGCTATCGGGCCCCTGTCGGCGATCAATGGGCGAGTGGGGTTCGATGCATCCTCCCCTGAGCTCCTTTCCCCCCTAACGTTGCCCCAGGTGGTTTTCGGGCCATGGTTTGGATCTCTGCCGGCCGTTCGGGCCGATCCGGGCACCCCTAGGACTCTTTCGGCGAGGCGCTGGAACGCATCGCGAGGCAAGAAAGCCGCCGAGCAACGACGAAAAGCCCAGAAACCCTTAAAACCTCGAAGCTCGAGCTCTAACATTGCCCCTGTCGGTGATCCATGGGGGTTCGATGCGACGCCCTCTGAGCCTCTCCCCCTCAGACGTTACCTCCTCGATCCTCGATCCTCCTCGATCCTCCATCCTCCTCGATCCTCGATCCTCCTCGATCCTCGTTCCTTGTCGCGGTGCCTCGCCCTAAGAGGTGCCCCCGCCGGCGGTGGAGCCCCCGGCGGAGTCCGCAGAGGAGCCGGCGCCGGAGGAGGCCTACAGGCCGCGCCCCCAGGGAGCAGCCAACAGCAAACAAAAACACAGCCCGGAGGGGCAGGGCTCGCCGAGTCCTTGCAGCCTCGGGAGATCTGAAGAGAGAGAAGAAACCACCCAATCGACAAAGCAACGAGCAGAGAGGACACAGAGCGATGAAGCGACAGGGCAAAGCTGACAGCACCCGAAGGGCTTCCCAGGCGGTCCCCCACCCCAGTGCTAACTGAGAAGAAATCCG